TCCCCCGGCCTTGCACACACACACTCTCTTGCAAGAAAATAAAACACATCAGGAAATATGAAGTAATTTCAAACAAGTACCTGTCATAGTTAAAAAATAAATAAATAAAAATTAATTTTGAAAATAGTTAAGTACCAATAGATATAACACATTGGTGTCCTCAATAATTTTTTTTTTCAACGTTTATTTATTTTGGGATAGAGACAAACATGAGCAGGAGTGGGGGAGCAGAGAGGGAGACACAGAATCGGAAACAGGCTCCAGGCTCTGAGCTATCAGCCCAGGAAAATGAGCGGGCACGAACTCCGCGGACAGCGAGATGCATTGGTCGGACAGCTCAACCGACTGTGCCACCCAGGCGCCCCAATAATTTTAAGAATATAAATGAGTCCAAGGGTGGACCTGGACTCATTTACCTGGAAGCCACCTACAGGTGACTCTTGGTTAACATCCAGACTTAGGCTCAGGTCATGACCTCACAGTTAGGTAGTTCAAAGCCCGTGTCGGGCTCTGTGCCGACAATGGAGCCTGCTTCAGATTATGTGTCTCCCTCTCTCTCTGCCCCTCCCCCACTCACACTGTCTCTCACTCTCAAAAAGCAATTAAAATATATAAATATATAAACATATATATATATATAAATGAGTCCTGAAACCAGAAAATTTGAGGCTCATCAACTTAGGCAAGTCATTCAGCCACCATGATTTAACCTTCCATATCTATATCCCAGAGCATTGTCCTCCAAACCTGGGTGTCAGGGAACCACCTGAGGTGTTCAGAATGAGCACAGTTCACACTACCAGTCAGCCCTTTGAATGAGTATGTTCACAAAGGGAAGACTTTAATAATAAACTATAACCTACATGTCGTTTTCACAACCCAAGAAAATGCTGAAGAAAAAAAAATGATAGCAAAACCTTATTATAGAAAACCAATGCTGTATTTCTCCGTAATCACCTTCCTTTTTAAAATATCAAATTGCCTTTACAATTTAATGATCTATTATTACTAATACTTAACAATTTTAGGAGGAGGTTAGTCATAAATGACTCCCCACCATTTTCTCAAATTACACTATACACACATATATATACATACATACACACATATATATATGGTATGTATTTATGCCTTAATATATACATACATAACACACACATATATATAAGGTATATATAATTTTTATACATACACATATGGTATATATGGTATGTATATATATATAGATATAGGTAGATATAGATATACGGTATATCACCAAGATAATAAACACTTCCATAATAACTGGTCTAGGAAGAACATGCTGGCAAAAGCAGAAGTATCTTTCTTTTTTTTTAAGTTTATTAATTTATTTTGAGTGAGAAAATGTAAGTTGGGGAGGGACAGAGAGAATCCCAAAGCAGGCTCCACAGTCTGCATGTAACTTGATGGGCTTGAACTCGAGCTGCATTGAGACCATGACCTGGCCAAAACCAAAGTCAGGCAACCTTGCCAGTTTGTTGAGCCACCAGGCATCCCAGAAGTATCCATGGTGAAATTTCAGCTGTTCTTTACCCACGCGAAAAATACTGTTGAAGGTTGGGTACCTGCCTAAGAGAAATCTGGTTTGCTTTACATTCCAGGGAAATGATATTTCTAAGCGAGACCCTTTTATATAAATAGTTGATTTTTTATTCCATGAAACTGTTGTCTTTTAGCAAACGTGAACTCTTCAAAAGTATTTTTTGTCAGTCAATTTTTTCACTATTGGGATACTACTTGGGATGCCTGGGTGGCTCAGTCAGTCCGTTAAGCGTCACTGACTCTTGAGACACAACTCAAAATCGCCACAATTCAAGCCGCATCAAACCATGCCTATCAATAGTACTGTCTGTCCCTCCCCAACTGCGCTCTTTCACTCTCAAAACTAAGTAATAAACAAAAAAAAAAAATACGCTTTGTCATCTTCACCCCAACCCGACAATTATTTCATATAGTATTTAAAGCACCCCAGGTGATGCTGCTGTTATTGTATCTGGCCCCACAATCTATAACTAACATATATGCATGCGCCGTATACCATCAGCTCAAACCAACCATATATTGTCAACGCTACTCACCATGCCGCCCCGCTATGTATTCAATATTGATTGTTCGCTCATGTGTATATTAATATATTGTACATGCCATGCCCTTAACTTCATGATAATATATTCTGATGACATGGTCAATTTGAAAGATATTGATTGTTGTGACTAATGTTTATACAAAAACTGTTGAAGTATTGCGAAATGACAAGACTCGTTAGCAACCCATTTTTAAAGGAAGGCAATTGCGAACCACAGGTTTTCTCAACTCCACTTTTGTATCATTATTTCGGCATTTTCTTGAAGTTATGAAAACATTTTTAACCGGAGACAAGTTTGCTTTATTCAGAATATCGCTCTTTATTGTTTGCTCTTTCATTCAGAGATACAGATGCGACCAGCTGACAACAAATTCTCGATGAACAAACAGCTTCTGAGACATATGAAATATGGAGGACCGTGATCAACTGAATATTTGCTAAGCCGATGACACTCAGGCCTGCTGTTTCGAGACAATTTTATATATGTGTTTGCTTCTTGTTCCGCTTTCATCTGTTTTCGTTTTTCATATATATATATAAATGAGTCCTGAAACCAGAAAATTTGAGGCTCATCAGCTTAGGCAAGTCATTCAGCCACCATGTGATTTAACCTTCCATATCTATATCCCAGAGCATTGTCCTCAAACCTGGGTGTCCAGGAGACCACCTGAGAGTGTTCAGAATGAGCACAGTTCACACTGCAGTCCAGACCCTTTGAATGAGTATGTTCACAAGGAGAGGATGGACTTTAATAGCAAACTTCTATAACCTACATGTCAGTTTTCACAACTTAAGAAAATGCTGAAGAAAAAAATGATAGCAAAACCTTATTATAGAAAACCAATACTTTGTATTTCTCCGTAATCACCTTCCTTTTAAAATATCAAAATTGCCTTGCAATTTAATGATCTTATTACTAATACTTAACAATTTTTAGGAGGTTCATTAGTCATAAATGACTCCCTCACATTTTCTCAAATTACACTATACACATATATATACATACATACACACACATATATATGGTATGTATACATAATATATACATACATAACACACATATATATAAGGTATATATAGTACATACATACACATATGGTATATATGGCGTATGTATATATATATAGATAGGTAGATATAGATATACACAGTATATCACCAAGTCTTAAACACTTCCATAATAACTGGTCACAAAGGGAAAG